TTGGGTAGTCAAATTCTCTCTTGGAATAACCTTGCAGTCTTTACATGATGGTTGCTACCTTCTTAACTAGGAAGATGTCTATCTACCATTTATATCAAATATTCATCTTACTTTTTAAAGTAAATATTTGTTATTTCTTAGTCGTAGGCCATAACAAAATCTAATATAGCTACACCCATCTCATTTCTTTCCCCAGACTGATACCCCCCATGTACCCCTTCATATCTTCTACTATCCTTCCCTACATTACCATTTTAGTTTCCTCCTAAAAAGGTTTTCTCTTCATTTGGTATGTCTTGGACTATTTCATCTATATCCTCCCAACATTATCTCTTAATTTTATCATCTAATCCTACTTATAAAGCATAAGCATTAATTACATTAATTATATATTCCCCTAATACAAGTTTAATTAATAAGAGCCTATACTTTTGACATCAACTAAATTATCTTTTAAATCTTTGTTTACTACTATGCCGACATTATTTCTATTACTAATATTATTATAAGAAAATAATATTAGTAATAAAATATTATATAAAATAAATATGGCATATATTAATAATGAGTGTCATAATAATATAACAACACGTATAATAGCAGTACATAGTAATAATAATGATGATGATAATGATGATGATGATGATAATGATAATCATAATAATAATGATAGTAATCATAATAATAAATAATAATAATAATAATAACAACAACGACAACGACAACGACAACGACAACAACAACAACAACAACAACAACAACCACAATAATAATAATAATAATAAGGAAAATTGTCTCACACGGGCTGGATCGCATAACTACATACGGGGTCCAAAAAGTGTAAAACACCCATCTTAAAGATCCAAAAAGTGTAAAACACCCATCTTAAAGATGGATGTAAGTAGGTGTTCCATCTAAAAACAATGAAAACTAACGGTACAAATGTTTTCCTACTAAAATTATTATTTCTAGTTTTTTAGTATTATTATTTTTTTCATATTCATGATCTCCACATTAGAGATTACATGTTCTTAAAAATTAAGTCCAAAAATCCATCTCAAAAATAGATCTATTAATAGGCCCGCATTTCTACATATGTGGGCTCGGCCGCATAGAAACTGAGTCATAATAATAATAATACCACAAATTAAAGAGAGAAACTATATCAAATTTTAAGTTTTAAAGAGAAAAAGTATCTTAAAACTTCAAAGAGATAAACTATATCAAATTTTAGAGAGCGAAACTACCTGAAATTTTTAGAAAGAAACTATCTCAAAATTTTTAGAGAGAAACTATCTCAAATTTCAAGTTTTAGAGAGAGAAGCTATCTAAATTTTTTAAAGAGATAAACTATTTCAAAATTTTAGAGAGCAACTATCTCCAATTTTAAATTTTAGAAAGAGAATATTAAATTTTAGAGAGATAAATTATATCATATTGTAGAGGGAAAAACTACTTAAAAATTTTTAGAGAGAGAAATTATCTCAAATTTTTTAAAGAGAAACTATCTCGAATTTTATGTTTTTGAGAGAGAAAATATCTAAAAAATTTAGAGAGAGAAACTATATCAAATTTTAAAGAGAGAAACTACCTAAAAAATTTAGAGAGATACTATATCAAATTTTAGTTTTAAAGAGAAATACCTCAAAATTTTAGAGAGAGAAACTATATAAAATTTGAGTGAGAGAACTACTTCAAAATCTTAGAGAGATAAATTATCTCATAATTTATAGAGGAAAAACTATCTAAATTTTAAGTTTTAAAGAGAGAAAGTATCTTAAAATTATAGAGAAATAAACTATATCAAATTTTAGAGAGATAAGCTATCTCTAATTTTTTTAGAGAGATCAATTATCTCAAATTCTAAGTTTTAGATAGAGAAAGTATATTAAAATTTTAAAGGGAAAAATTTTATCAAATCTTTGATAGAGATACTACCTAAAATTTTCAGATAGTGAAAAAGACAATGTGAAACCATTTCAAATTTTAAGTTTTAAAGAGAGAAAGTATCGTAAAGTTTTAGAGATAAAAATTATAAACTACCTAGCGGTGGCAATAGGTTGAGTATGGGTTCGGTCCAGTTGGACCCCGACCGAGACTCGAAAGTATTCAGTTCTAGGTTTTGGACCCAGACCCAACCCATCGAGTCCAAAAATTGGACCCAGGCCCGTACCCATCGGGTCCCAGGTCTATCTTGTCGGGTCTCGAGTCTAGTTGGGTCCATTACCACCCTCACTATGAGCTTCTTTTTTAACTTTTGCCTCTTTTTTTTTTACAATCATGTACCCATATTATTGGCAACAAGGTCACATTCACTAGCCATAGGATTTCAAGCTGTATGATTTATTGTTTAATAGCTAAAGATGACTATGTGTTCTTATTGTATATGAACCTTAAGACACCCAAGCAAATGGGGCTTGAAGTATTTTATCTCAAACAATTTATAGGTACGGGTCGAGCCCAACCGGACCCAGACCCGGACCCGAATAGTGTTCAGGTCCAGGTTGTAGATTGGGACCCATGTCGGGTATATCCGGCGGGTCTGGGTTGGGTCTAGGTCAATTGCCGACCCCACAACTACCTAAAGACTTAGAGAGAGAAATATCTCCAAATTTTTGAGAGAGAAACTATCTAAAATTTTACGTTTTAGAGAAAAAAAGGAATTTTAGAACGAGAAACTATATCAAAATTTAAAGAGAGGAACCACCTGAAAATCTTTCGAGAGATAAACTATCTCAAAAATTTTAGAGGGAGAAAGTATCTTAACATTTTAGGGGGGAGAAACTACATCAAATTTTACAGAGATAAACTACTTGAAAATGATTAGAGAGAAACTATCTCAATGTCTTTAAATATAGAAGCTTTCTCAAATTTTAAATTTTTAAAGAGAAGAGAGAGAAACTATATCAAATTTTAAATTGTAGAGAGAAACTATTTCAAAATTTTTAGATAGAGAAATTACATTAAAATTTCAAGTTCGATGTGTTCTCTCTCTCTGCCCGTATTCAAACTATGTTCACCAAACATAGGAAAATGTAAGTTTGAGTAGTTTTTCCTAGTGTTCAAAAAATTGGCGATCTGATCCGGAACCGTACGATCCGGATCAAGTATCAACTAGGCCGTTCTGGATCAAGCCAAAACATAGGATCCGACCGTGTTTGCACAGTAAATCGATAGCATGACATCACAACTCACTGAATATGTTGATTATGATGTCAATAAATCAAGTATCAACTTCATCACATCTTTTTAAAAAGTTGGGAGGGCATTTTTGTAATTTTTCGTTGGAATTGGGGCAATTACATGGCCACATGTGCCTCTGTCAACCATGGCCCCCTAGCACCACGTGCCCCTATCAATCATAGGCACATTGCCTCATGATCCATCATGGATGGATGATCCATTAAAGCACCACGTGCCCTATGCTCCATCATACCTTTCAAGCACCCCTAGCGTCAAGTGCCCCATGCTCCATCTTTTCAAGTACCCTTAGCGTTACATGCCTCATGCTCCATCATGCTTTTCAATTATACATTTGAGGATGGTACTGAGGAGGCTTTCATTCACATCAAACTTATTTCTATTTTTTGGATGTGAGACATTTCATCCCATTCAACTTGCACAACGTCATTGGACCTTTGGAGACTTGGAGCACGTTAGCTCTTTTTCTCTCTCTCATATGTCAATGCCTATTGTTAGATTTTTTTTACTTAGGAATACATGGTCTAATTATATTTTTTATTTTTATAACATAGTGGTCTTTAATATAAATTTAGAAATATTAATTTAAATATAGGGTTCATATAATGAGGCCATTTGAAATCTCTCTCTCTCTACTATCAATCTCTTGCACTAAATTTATTTGAGAAACCTAAAAAATTAGATTTTTGAAAAATTAAAATGTTATTTAAAAAATTGGTATGCATTCTAATAATTTTTACGTTGATAACCAAATCTTATATTTTATTTATTAATTTATTTGTATTATAAATTATGTAATGTATTACTTTTTTTTACAATTGTCAATAATATATTCTAAATTAGATGATTTTATAAGATAATTTATCCATGATAATTCTATTATTCTTCTTTTGTGTGATGTAAATTTAATGGTTAACATAAGTTCATGCATGGAAATAATATCTCAATATTCGCATATTGATAAGAAAATGAAAGTTAATAATGTAGTAACCCCATTTTTTATTAGATTCTTAGAAAACAACATTTATGATGATTTTTAATATTTTTTTGGATTTGTTTATTGCTAAATCCAATCGATTCGACTGATTTTCGATCCTAACATCTGATTCACTGATCCGGATGGGTTTTTAAGGTGCCCGATCCGGAGCACCGATCTATTTTTTAAACCACTGGTTTTTCCCATAAATTATTTGCACATCTAAATATATTTTTTGTAAATATTTTGCTTTCAAACTTTTTATGCATACCAAACGACCCTTCATAGCAAAATAAGGTTATATCCAAATATGAAATTTGCATGCGATTCAAAAGCCATCCAAACAATAATTTTTCAATAATCAGTTGCGATTTGTATAAAGCTAGGCCCTAACCAATCAAAGTAGAACACACCTTCAACTAATGTTGAAAAATGTGGTTTCGATACGAGACATCTTTGCGGTAGTCTTAACATATATTTTCATTTTTAATGATAAAATTTGAAGCTTTAAAAATAATGTAGATCGAGCAATCTATGAAAATATGAAAACCTTGAAAATTGACGATCAAAAAATATATTATAAGATGCATTATTTTTAAAATTTAAAATCTATTTTTTTCATGTCCATGTATCTTGATATCGAGATATTATTTTTAAAACTTGAAATATATATTTCTTCTCATGTCTATCGATCTCGATATCAAGATGATCATCTTGAAATTTTTGAGGTGCGCTCTAATTTGATGGTTCGAGCCTCGGCTCAATATAAACTTTTTCACAGTCTATATAAATAGCATCCGTTTGACAGCCCTATTCTAAGGGGCATCCGTGGCAAGGCGTACGGGCGGGGGTTCAAATTTTCGAGTTCCCAATTTCAAAATCCCAACGCGCTCTCTTTCCACTACTCCCACAGTGGAGGGGAAGGGAAGAGGGAGAGTGAGAATGGAGGAGTTGCAGACGAGCACTCCTCGCGCTTCTGTGAGGAGAAACCCTCCCCGCAAAGCCAAGCGACTAACTGGAACCCCTTCCTTGCTTCATTCTATCAGAGAAGAAGTGCATAGATCTCCATGTAAGGATCTTCAAACCTATGCAATCAACCTCAAACCTTCAGAGAAAAATGCCTTAATAATATCTGAAGACGCGCTTTCAAATATAGGCACTGGAGCTCCTGGCATATCTTCATTGAAGGACCTTCAATGCCCTCCATTACAGGACCTGCAAACCTCTGAAAATGAGGTTGCGGAGACAGGAAGCCTCAGGGTCTTTCTCAGAATCCGTCCTCCAAAAGGGGCTAGGGTAAAATGCGGGGCACCTTCAAAAACTAGAGGCAAAGGTGCGCGTCATGTGAGTTATGAAGAGAAACGTCCATGTTTGGTTGCAAATGATGCGCATTCTGTTACCCTAACTACTCCTGCTTCTCTGCAAGAGATGAAGAGAAGCAAGACTGAGGTCTACAATGGCTTTGCCTATGTATTTTCTCCTCAATCGTTGCAGGTGCCATTGATTCTAGTTCCTGGTTTTCTCATATTTTGTTTATCCCTAATTTCTTGTTGCTGTGGGCGATTTTTCAAAGAGATTTTCAGTGATCATGAGCATTGGTGACCAAGGTTGTCCCAAATTGTTGTGAGAAGCTCCATGTCGATCTGTTTATTGTTTGGGCAATCTTTGATCTGATGTATTGTTTTCTGGTTTTGTTTCATTACTCTCTTACCACTCACTTTGGAATTTTATCAGTTCTTAACATCAATAACTGTTCTATTTTTGGTTTTTGTGGTGTTACCTCAAATATCACAGATGCTATTTTCTTGACACTGATCTCTCTCTCTCCCTCTCCCCTTTATTTATTTATTTTTTTGAGGGATTAATATTATCATTTTTGCTTTTTTCTGGATTAAGGCAGAATTGTATGACACAGTTATCATATGTGGCTTCCCACATATTTGGCTGCATCGAGGCAGTGTGATCCTTGGCACTGATTCAGATGCCTGCCTCGGAGGCATGTCAGCTACACAATCTGCCACATTGAGGCAAGCCTATAAAATGATTTGGACCTGCTTGTGGGTGGAAATATATGGTCTTGTTCGAGGAAAAGGTTTGGGGGGTATACAACCCCCAGGGACCCTCAATTTTTTTGGTTCTAAAGGGATTAAATAAAAAAATCACAATCAATGTTTTTTTCTTAAAAAAATCATACATTTTCTGGCAATTTATCGAGTCAATTTTTTGCTCACATTGGAAGCATTTTTAGCTGCACAATATTGGCCAAGAGCTCTCTTCGACGCCGCAACACTATACATTATACTGCTGCAATTAATAACCATGGATAGAGTCTACTTATCTTCTTGTTTCTTATGTCATTGTGTTTTGGTCATGAACTTTTGGTTTTTGGTTGTACAACTTGCCAAGCACTACATCTGTTACTGTGTGTCCTTTAGTGGTATCATACTATTCTTTAGGTGATTGGTATATTTGTATATTCTTTTGTTTTTAATTCAATTTCGCTGATTGAATTGGATTATTTTATTTTACACGCCAACTATATTTAGCAGTGTTTCAAAAAGCGCTAGGCGGGACCTTGGCGGTCTAGGGGTTGAGGCCACCCAGTGCCTAGGCGGGCATTCAAAACCTGGGTAGCCCAGTAGAATTTTTTTTTTTGGGTTTTCTCTCTCTAAAATAGGCTCTAATGGGTTGCATCTTTAGTATTAAAAAAATGACCTAAAAATACCCTCAACGAAGGACATTTCTGTCCTTGGCTTGGGTGGGGCACAGGCCCTAGGCGGCCGCCTAGGCAGGTGGCCGCCTAGGCGGGTTCCCGAGCGCCAAGGCGGGCGCCCAGGGATATCCGATTTTTTTGGGCACCTATGCTTGGGCAATGCGCCTAGGCCCCCAGAACGCTTAGACAGCAGCCCAGGTGCTGGGCGGTTCGCTTTTTGAAACACTGATATTTAGATAATAAAGATGGAAAATGTCTTTGGTACTCTATCTGATGGACGTTGGAACAAAGAATAGAGAAGACTCTAAAATTTTGATAGTTTAATTGCAAAAAATGGAGAGGAAGCTTACAACCAATCTTATACCATCTCTTTTATAAAATCAAGAACTCAGGGAAAACAATTTTGAACTTTGAATCAAACCTCTCTAATGACCCCTATTTTGTAGACTAAAATTTATTGGATGCATTGAAATACTAATTTTATTGTAAAACAAATCCAAATTAAAATAAAAATGACATGACAGTTTTACCCTCAAAAAAAAGTTTAACACCCATGATAACTTGGACTACTTCCCCAATCTCGAAACAACAATTGTAAAAAGTCATAATTATTTCTTCCAATACTAAAATTGCTATTGAACCCCATTTCAGAAACAACAACTTAAGCAATATGATGCCATAACTAGCTTTGCTAGTTTTGTCAACGTATTAAGATAACAAAATAACTTTGAAACCTTGATGTCATACCTAAAGTTTGCTGCACAAGGCTTAAATTAGTGTCCCTTGGTTAGAGAGAACACGCCCTCGAGTTTTGATCTTTCATGAATTTTGTCCATGCCTCTTCATTAATTTTCTTCTGCTCCTCTGGGATTCATGATTCTTTGAATCATGTTGTCTTTCCACTGGACCAAATATTGACGATAGGACCCATGACTCGCTGTAATGGTCTCTGAATGTCCAGAACCTTTTGGATTTTCTCACCAACCTTGGCAACTAGACCTTTCACTCAACAACCTCTACATCCATAGGCTCTCCACGATACTCATAGAGATCAGGTATATTAGAAATATGAGAGATCCTTTGCCCTTTTGGAAGTTCAAATTTTTAGGCATTGTGGCACTCTAGAGGGGCCAATCTTTTAGTACATGAGCTTATGTTACATGCCACTAGGGAAGTGCTCTTGCCTCATGTAAACCATCACACTATCTCCTTCATTGAATTCCTTACTACGTCAGCTTTGTCAACCTTGTATTTGTCATAGCCTTGTTGAAGCTTTTTCTTGACCTGTCTATAAACCTCCTGAAGATGCTCGATGTAGGCTTCAATGTTTTCACTTGCTTTCTCTTTGTTAGGCAAAGCAGCCCAATTTAGCACCTTGTTCGGTGACTCCAAAAAGGTAACTTTCTAGTTGATTTATTTACAATGATTTTTGGGCATACTCGGCTTTTGGCAAAATTTGATCCCATTGGGCAGGCTTGTCTCTTTGCACAGCTCCTCAACAAGTTTCCCAAAATTTTATTTACGACCTTTGTCTGTCAATTTGTTTGGGGATGATATGCAGTTGCTGTAATAGAGCCGAGTGCCCAACATTTACTACAAGGTGCGCTAAAGTGTCTCACAAGCCGCACAATCAGAAGTAATAGGTTTAGTAAATTCATGAAGCCGAGCCACCACCACAATTGTAGAATTGCTGCCTTCAGATGTGCGAGGATGTCCTAGGATGTAATCCATACTGATATCTATCCATGGCATGGTAGAAATAGGCTGAGGGGAATATAAGCCTATGTTTCGTGACGGGCCTTTGACTAACTAGAAAAACCTTCACGTCTTGATATATCGACTGCCATCTCTTTTGAGTCTTGGTCAGTAATATTTCTCCCCCTTGTACATATGTGTTCCTTCTTACTTTCTAGGGTGCTCAAAAAATTGATGCCCAAGTTTGCTGCACTTAGACACTTCGGTCCTTGATCTCGAATTCGTAGAGGCTTTTTGTACATGGGCCTTTCCTGCTTTAGATGCATCATGGGGCCGAGAATTTAAGGCAACCACATCCCTCTATTCTTGATTTCCAACACGCTAATGTTCAAGAAAATAGAAACAGGTGCCCAGGCAGTTGGGGTGGCCAACCACTTGTGTGTCTGCCTAGTGTCCTGGGTAGAAAACAAGAAGAAAAGGGGAGGGGGATTAGATATATATTTTAAATTTATGATTTTGCATTATAAATATTTATTTTAGAATTATGATTGTACATTATAAAATATGGACATAGCCATACATGTAGTGATATTTTCAAACATAGCCATAAATGTATTATAATTACAAAAAACAGCAAACTGAAAAAAAAAATCCACTCATGAAGCATAACATAACACAATGTAAAGTCAACTTACAAAAAAAAATAAATCAAGATATAGCAAAGTAGAAAAAAAAAAATACTATCAAATGTAAAGCCAAACTTAAAAAATTAACACATGAAAATGGACAAAAAAAAAAAAAACTTAACATTACACAATACTCATAATAAAAATGAACCTTAAACACGAACAATTGAATTTACTAACCTTTCAAAAAACCAACAGAAATAGGCTTGAATTGGTCACTTTCGGTCGCCAAAGGTTCTATTTTGCAACCTATTTAATCCCTAAAAAGTTTATAGTGGAATGCCTTTCGATTCCGCAAGTAATCAAAAACTACAAATTTGGTTGCGATCCTTAAAACATTTCGGTTTTGAACAAAAAATGGTTTTCATTTTTATTTTTAACAAAATAAGGTTGTTAGGGTTTTGGGGGGCCAAAATGCCCCCAAAATGCTATTTCCCTTCTTTTCAAGGGGGAAAAGGGTATTTTGCCCATTTGGCGACGTCTAAGCGCATTCTTAGGCCTCGCCAAAAAGACCTTGGGGGGGGTGCCTAGATGGAGCCCTGGGCGACTAATCGGGCGCCCAGGGCCAATGTCTCGCATTAGGCAGAATAGTCCAGTTTGGGGCAGTGAGGCCTCCCAACCGCTTGTGTGGCCTGCCCAAGTGGCTGACATTTGGAACGCAACAATATGTTCCTTGGGGATTGAAGAAGACCCCTGACCATAGTCGTGATTTATAGAGATCCTCTTAGCTTTTTCATTATTTAAAGCTAATTGATGTGCTTCCTCACATGTGAAATTTTTTATGCAAAATGACTCTTGAATATGAATTTTTGGCCACTCACGTACCTTGCAACATGTTGATCATTGTTCTTGTTGATCTCCTTTTGCCTCATCAATAGATAGAACTTGTCGTTTTATTCTTGCATGCTTAGCTCTTTTTGTTGCATATGGTGAAATCTCTAATATAGATTTTGTATATATTCAGCAGCAAATTCCTCCTCCAAACACTTCTTCATCTTTTTCCAATTTGTGATTTTACCTTTTTTTCTCAAACTCGACTTGTCTGCAACTGTTGCTACGAGATCAGGGCATGACCCTTTAGTCGGTTAGCCATGAAGTTTACTTTCTTCTCTTTTTGAAAAGTCTTTCCAATCAAAGGAGGGCTTAACACTTTCATGAAGGGGTTCACCTCCTTTGCTGAATTGGATCCATCAATGTCATAGATGATTGAACGTCACTCATAATGGTTTGAAGCACCTCCTACTCCAACTCCAACTCCTCAAATCTTCTCATCATATTGGTGAATTGTTCCTTTGTAAGTTTGGATCGCGACCTCCACTGTGGCCTACACATCCTCCTCTACTTACCATCGTGCAGGGAGAGGGGACCTACTCTGATACTAGATGAATATAAATTTGAACAAGGAACATTGGAAACTCTAAAACTTTGATAATTTGATTGAAAAAAGAGAGGGAAACTTACATGTCAAGCTTCTAGTGTTTCTTTGATAAAAGCTAGAACTCAGGGAAAACAATCTCAAACTCTTAAATGAACTACTCTAAAGATTCCTATTTATCAACTGAATGTTATTGGATGCCCATAAATCCTATTTTTTAAATCTATTGTAAAATGTACTCTTAACATGAACTAAAACGACGTGACACCTTTACCATTGAAAATTCCATGATAACCCCAGCTACTTTGCCAATTTAGAGACAATAACTTTGGAAAGCCATAACTTTTACTCTGATATCAAAATCACTATTATTATCCCATTGTGTAAATGACGGCGAGGCTCTATGATGCCGAAACCACTCTTGTTAGCTCTGCCAATGAACAAGGCTGAAAAATCACCTCTAAGGGCTTGAAGCATATTTTTCGGGATCTTTTAAGGAGGGGGTCGCTTCCGCACTCAGAGATACGAAATCTCGATTCCCGGTGATTCCTTGATATTTGGGATCTCGATTCGGGAAATCGGGAGCGTGTTTCACCAATACATTTTTTGGTTCATATATAAACGAGTGTGGACCTTCAATTTTTGTGACCTACAATCTTTCTGAACTCCATGATTTCCTACATATTTTATGAGGACAAGGCGAGAAGCAAGAAGATGGAAGGAGATACAAACGTTAGTCCCATTATGGTTCAATTGAAGAATGTCAATATGCTCAATTTCCTTGGAGCTAGTTCACTAGGTCTTGTCTTTCTCTTGAAGGGCATCTATCGCTTGAGTGTTTGTCAACCAAATCGAGCCGCTCATGTGATTGTCGTACGGGTGATGGAATAACATGTATGTGTAGAAACGTGAGGTCTCTCTCATGTTTACGTCTTTGAACCCCTAGCAACCTTTGATAGAGGAGAGCTATTGGGAATTATATATGGCATTATCTTTCCTTTTTATTACTTTGCAAAGGTTAACTTAACTATTGGAAACAATCTAACACAACATTCTTATATTAATCATCATTTGATATTCGAGTGGGAGTCGCCCAATCCAACTGATTGGTGCCAAAAATGAGGATGTGTGCGTTGTGGGCAGATCAATGTAGGTAGGTGTGCAACCACATGTTGTAGGCAGACCAATGTGGGTAGGTGTGCTGTTTTTATCACCATTCATTCCCATTGTTAACATGTGATCAAGGACTTAGGTATTACATCACCATATTGGATTTCTATTATCGCCATGTGTAAGATCATACTCCAATGACAACAAAATGTAAAAGAGAATTTCAATGACATGAATTTTATTCACATTGATGCTAGGTTTGTGAATTTGAAAAAAGTTAAAAATTATTATTCAATGGTATTCGCTCCCTAGTTACAATACAGTTGACAAGTGAACCTCGGGAACCTTGATCCTTATCATGGAGGAAAGCGATCCCATTTAGTCTAGAATTCGCTCCTGTGAAGATATGCAGTGTGCTCCCTAAAGGTTAGGGATCTTGATCCCTTTACCTGACCATGTACGGACCTCGTTCCCCAAACCACGGATCTTCGAGCCTACTTCGTTCCGTGCTCCTGCTCCCGATCCTGGAGTTCTTGTTGCTCCTGTTTGCGTTAACTATGGCTTGAACATTGGGCCTGAAGTTTGCTGTGTGAATTCCACATGCATCACCATCATCGTCTTAGACAATATATATGGTAAAGACAAATGATAAATTAGAATGCCTATTATAACATAAGTCACTCATTTGTGTTTTTCTTTGTATCGAGGCGCATAGGGCATTAGTGCCCCTTAGTGCCTTGCATCACATCATGCATTTGATAACCTTGGAAGCTAATACATCCAAATTCGTATGCATTGTTATTTTTTGTGGGCTTATGGAATTTTAAGTGGGTTTTTCTTGATCCTGAGACTGGTTTTGGAAATTTTCTTAAAATTGTAGTCTGAGGCAGCATAAAAATTTGTTTCTTCAGTCTCCTGCCACTTGATGTAATTTTTTTAAATAAAATCTTATACCCATCAAAGGAATAGTAGGAATTTCTCTGACCTTAATATGATCCTAATATTGTATCTTGGTTTTTACTTTGCTTCCTTTATGGGGACCTATGCCATGTTTTGAGTTTGCAATGGCTGCGCTTGGGGTGGGCTGGGCCTGGCTCGGGGCTGGTTAGATCTCTTCCTGTTCTGGGGCTCTTCGTTAATATGGCCTAGCAAGGCGAAGAACTGACCTGCCCGGACTCAGCCCTATGGGCCACATGTGTGGGCACGCTGCCCTGCGTATTGCCGGTCCTAGCCATTTTCTTGCTATTACTCTTTGATTTGATATTTGGCTGATCATTACTAATATTTTATGAATAATAGATGGAGGTGTATGAGAAGGTGATGCGCCCCCTTGTGATGAATTTTCTTGGAGGAAAATCCCGTTTGCTGGTTGCCATGGGGCCCACCGGATCTGGTAAAACGCACACGGTTTTTGGGACTCCAATGAAACCTGGTCTGGTGCCTCTTGCTCTTCATCACCTATTTGAATGTGATGAAAACTCTCCCTTTAAGCAATCCAGGTTTGATGAAGACTGCCTTTATATGACCTTTGCTTGACTTCCACTTAGTTGTAACTAAAGTTTGTGCATAACTAATATTTTATGCTGTGATCATAAACTGCTGCATTTAGGACCGAGTTCAACTTGGTATTTATAAAGAACCAAGTTGATTTCAATGACTTCTATGAGAAAGCTACATTGGACGTGTCCGACTCCCTTGGTATAGGAATTTCATCATTGCAGGCACGTTTGCTGTTATTATGACTGTTATATGCTCATGGGGTCTCTGAAACACTGTGTTTCTCCTGGTCAACTCTAGTTTTTATGCCAATGCAGATCTGTAGTATGAAAAGTTCATGCTTTAAGAGGTGTTTATTTGAGTGTTTTGTTACTAAACTCATTAGATGGCAGTTATGATCACTACCTATTTTTGGTTTTGGGGCTAGAATTCATTTCCAGTGTTTTTGGTCTTAGAATCTGTTTCTAGTTCCAATTCTTTCCCAGATCAGTTTGACATTACCTTTTCTATGCACTTCATTTTTTCCATTTGTTTGGCCATTAGTTGGTGTGGTTAGTGTGAAAAGGACTATATGCCTCATGGAAACACTCTGTCCATTGTAATTTGAGAGCTTTTTTGTCAAATCAAATGTAGTTGATGATTCAGATACCATCAGTTGCATTGGAAGTTTATGATGGCCTGTCGTGCCTCCTCAGGTGTTTTTACATGTCAATGTTCGAGATATGCTCTGAACGTGGAAGAGGAGAGAGGATATTTGATTTGGCTCAAGATGGAAGAGAAGTGTTCTTTCAGCAATCGATTATCAAAGGTCTTCAAGAGGTGACTTCTGTAACTCTTGTTCTCCTATCTAAGTTCCTGCTGATAAGTAGTGGTGAGCTACAGATGATGCTTAATTATCAAGGATGGATAGCAAAGCTCTTTATGTTATGATCTACAGGTGGTTGTTTCTAGTGTTGCTGAAGCAGAATCTTTTCTTTCACATGGAATATCCAAACGTACTACTGCAGTGACAAATGCAAATAGCCAGTCAAGGTGTGTAGCGTGTAGATATTTAAAAAAGAATGGCATGAGTCCTTATTATATAGTACTTTATTAAGCTTATGTTGCTAGATGAATACAACTTCTTTGGTATGATAAAATTCTATATTCAAGGCCGCACATTTTAAAAGTTATTCAATTGGCTGGTATATATTTCAAGCACCAACTTGTATTTTTGTCAGTATTGATTTTGTTATTCATTTCTTTTTATCAGAATATTTGGGACTAGATAATTCAGCTTGATTTACAACTTTTGTTCATGTTGCATTGACTTATCAAGAATAAAATGCACGGTACATTCAGTGGATGAGCATGAATGTTGATGAAAAAGTAAAGACCTGCTAAATTGAGGCTTATGTAAAATGATCTAATTGGTTCTCTAAAAGTTTGAAAGAATGGATGGAGCCGAAACCAGCTTTGATAACATATTGCAACCCCAGCAAAGTTTGCTAGGAGAGAAGGAAGCCATTCAACTTGTGAAAAGTGGATCAATGGTTCTGTGCACCTTTATTGCGTAAAATGTTTGAATAGAAAGATTAGGTTATGGGTTATCCCTCTGTGGGTGTGTGTGTGGGGGGGGCGGGTGGAGAGAGAGAGAGATTATATGTACCAACAGGACTTACACCGTAGTGAAAGCCTCTTTAAAATTGGCCTAGGCATTTAGGTGGCCTAGGCATCAGGTGCCTAGGCACTAGAGGTGCTGCCTAGGCGCTGGCTTGAGCCAATGTGCCTAGGCGGCGTGTTGAAGCCCTTGGTAAGAGATTGGAAAATGCCCTTTGCTAAGGCCATTTAACATCACCTCTTAAAGGGGAAAAAGTGTTTGGGGGCATTCCAAGCACCCCAAAACCATTTTTGCTTGCTTTGGTGAGAGATAACCTCCAAAAATGAAATTTTGTTATCTTTTGAAGATTGAAAGGATTTTTGAACTTTTCGATTTCTTGCCCAACCGAAAAGCATTCCATCGTATACTTTTTGTGGCTTGAAGTGGTTGTGAAAGAGGGCTTTTGGCAAGCTACGGTTAATGATTCCAACCAAGATCAACTGCATTTGAAATGTTAGTCCATTTATTATTATTATTATTTTTTGTGTATGGTCTGTTGTTTTTTATGGATGTTTGGTTTAGGTTAATTTTTTTGTATATTTGGTTTCTGTTCATGTGTTTTTTTCAAGTTTAGCTTTGGATTTGTGGCCAATATTTAAGAATGGGTTTTGGTTTGTGTTTAATGACATTTTATTAAGATTGGGTCTCAATCTTGGTAAAATATCGTTAAAAGTAATCTAGATAGACTTTTTTCTACTTTAGCTGTCTTAAATTTGTGTTATGATTGAAATGGGACAATAATGTGATTTTTTTCTCTACTTTATTGACCCTTTTTCATTTTTTGTGAATTCTTTTTCTTTTTTGGTATTGAATTAGTGATTTTGTTAACTATTTGGGTAAGTGGGTTATCAATTTGCAAATTCTTTATAATTTTGATTCTTTTGATCTTCAATTTGCACATTCTTTTCTTGCTTTAACTTTTTTATTTTAATTATATTGCTAGTTTATAAGATTTACTTGGATTTGAGTTTTTCATGCATTTTTCTAGTTTTAGAGATGGGATTGTAAGGACTGAGATATGGATAGAGTGAGCATGTGGGGAAAGAGAGGGTTCAAATTAGAGGAACTCAATGTTGGGAAAGCTTTCTATACTTCCTCTATTGTATAGAATATCTATACTCCCCCCCCAATCTAGCCGTCAAATTTAGATTAAGTGAGCAACTAATTTTTTAATATTAAAAATATTCTCGATAAAATAAAATCGTCAAAATACCCCTGAAACTTTCGGGGTTTGTTTTGGTCATTTTATTTTTCAGGGGTATTTTTGTCATTTTATTTTATGAGAAATATTTTATATATTTTTTGCAGGTGTGAGTTTAAGATAGGAGTGGATGCCCAAAATTTGGGTTTCAAAAAAAAAATAAAAATAAAATAGTGTAGAGGTGTGAAATTTTGATTTGGTCCATTTCAACCGTCCATGTAGATCTGACGGTTGAATAAGGGAAGTATATAACTTTTATAAAGTAGGCCAAGTATAGAAAGCTTTCCCTTCGATGTTAATCATATATGAAGCAATTTAGGGTTTAGAAAACCAATCAGCCACATAGGTTCAATATCCAATTGAGTTGGGGAGGGATCTTGGAGAGCGAACTGTGTTAGTGAGATAAACCGGTACAGAGTTACAAGTGGACTTGGTGATGAAAAAGGTGTATCCAGTGTAAGGCATTGGGCAATGTTGAGCAATTGTGTTGTAAATAAAAAATGGGATGGGAAGTTTCTTCAGCCATTCCATGCTGCTGGGTACTAGACTACTAGTTGCACCAAAGTTCTTTTATGTTGACCTAGATATTGATAGGAGCGATGCAGTTATGAATTGGGTGTTAGTGCAATGGGAGTTCATTTGAGATGGTAGGTTGGCAATGTCCATTTTGACTAAAGGTTATAATATTTACATAATTCAGATCAGTATTACTACAAATAGTGTATTACAATTAGTATTTAAGTTA